GGAGAGAGCTTCAAAAGTTCACGCGGAGGATTAAAAATAAAATCAATCTCCCGATGACATGGCTTTGCTGTAAGCGTGTCTGTAGCCGCCCGCACGGTGGCCTGGCCGAGCGCTCACCCTGTCGCTGTTTTGCGATAATAGTAATAATAATAAAGCTTCCCTTCCCTATTGTTGCCTCAACCGGTTGGTTTGCTGAATGGCCAACAAGTGGCTGCTTTGAGCAACCATCAGTGTGGTTAAGGGCGGGAGCCCTCTGCACACTCGTCTCGTGCAGCAAGGCTATAATTATGATGGGTGTGCGTATAAATATTAGACGCATGTAAATGGCAAGTAAGTAAGCTGTTTAATGCGCAGTGAATTGTGGTTCCTTCTCGGAGCATCAGTCTACGCCGACTGCAGGTTCTGTTTCCTTTGTGTGAGCAACTCGTTCCCTTTGGATCCAAGGGCTGTTCCCTCCAGGCGAGTTTTATTCAGCAGGTGACTTAGGAAGGAGGGGCGGGCGGGCGGGCGGGCGGGAGGGTGGGGGGGTGGGTGGTCGGGGTGGGGGTGGATGTGGAGGGGTGGCGGTTGCTGTCAGTTACACGGCGGATTGTGCTTTGAATTTAGCTGCTGCTGGTTGAATCTGTAGCGTAGTGGTTAGCTCGCTCACAAGAGCCAGCAAGGATTTTAGTATTATAATTGCACCTGTCCTTCCAACACCGCCGTTCAATATTGGGAGGGGTGGGGGTGGGGGGGGCAGGCTGCTCCCCCTCGCTGGACGGGCAGGAAAGGCAAGGGCGTAACATCCTCCTGCCAGTGCCGCTGCCAGACTCCTTCGCGACGTCTCGAAGCGCTTCCCCGGGTAGCGTCTGCGGACGAACGCTGCAGCCGATTTTACACACAGCAACGTCCCACAAAAGGCGCAGTCACTACACTCTACAGTGTATCGTGCGAAGCGCTTTGAGACGACTCGGAAGACGTGATAAGGCGCTGCGTCAAATGCAAGGATTTATTGTTATCCCACAAACAGCCATGAAGTGAACGACCAATTTTATTTGGGGTGCGGCGGTGGTGGCGGTGGAATTGTTGGCCAGGACACAGAGAGAGAGAGAGAGAGAGACAAACTCCCTTCTCTTATTGAGTCGTGCTGTGGAGATTTTTAACATCGACCTGAACAGACACAGAGTGAGCTTGCTTCTGTGCGTCTCTCTCTCTCTCTCTCGCTCGCTCGCTCAGCTTTGTAGCACCGCTCGCTAAGCCGCCTCAGTCCTGATCCATTTCAAAGTAACTATCACTCGCTTTTTGTCGGGCGAACGTTGAAGCTTTTGATATGCAAAGCTGATCTGGATTAGTCTTGTTGGCAAGAGGTGACTCTGTGTGTGTGGTGTGTGTGTGTGTGTGTGTGGTGGGGTGGGGAAATGACTCCATTATGTGGCTCCCACCTGCGTGGCTTTAGGCCGAATGATTAACAGGAGAGAGAGAGAGAGAGAGAACAAGGCGTGAGAATTCATGGCTGTTGGTTGGACATCGCTGCCGCGTTTCGCCCACAAAATTCGCAGTCGCCCTGCGCTGCAATATATGAAGCGCCTGGAGACGCCTCAGTGCGACCGGGCGCCGTATCAATGGCAAGGATAATTATTATTCTATATTATTTGGCGTTCTGTATCGTCGATATTAAATCGAGCGTTCGTTTCGCTCGGGCGCAAAATATTTTTCAGTAGGACCTGCGCAGCGGGTGACTTGGCGAGTCTCGCTCCCCTCTCCCCCAGGAACAGACAAAGAGCTGGGGGGCAGTTCTCGGTGAATCAGAGGTAACGGCGACGTGTGCAGCGACCTGTTCAGGGAGAGAGAGGACGCCGTGCGTAAAAGCAGCTCAGATTGGTGGGCTGAGAACACGAGCGGGGCCGGACTTCAATTGAGCCCTGATGCACTGTGAACCTCAGCTGTTGAGCAGCTCAAATTGATTGGGATAACGTAATCCTATATACAGGAATCCTCTGGCCACGGGCATGTGTGAGAGCGCGAGCGAGCGAGCGAGCGAGAGAGAGACACTAGCCACTGCACTGTGACAGACTGACTGACTGACTGATTGACTGATAGACACACACAGTCACTGCGCTGTGACAGACGGACAGGTATTTACTATGAATTCCCAGTAAAAATTACTTTGAGTAATTGATATAGTCGCTTGGACCAACCCTTTCGTGTTTTATACACAGTGGTTTGATGGGGCTCTCCTCTATTGCTGGGTACCAGATACAGAACAGTATGGGACAGAGGAGGACGGGTGTGGGTGTGGATTGGGGGGGGGGGGTGGGGGTCAGGGGTGGTAATAATTCTAACGAGGAAGCGCTTGTTCACTGAGGGCAGGTGATGCTTTTCGACCGGCCCCACTCACCTCCCCTCCCTCACTCCCCCATCCTCACCCACCCCACCCCCTCCCCGCTGAGGAAGAAACACTTATAACAATCTCTCCACGATTGCTTCACTCTCCTTCCAAACCGGTGCCTTACGTCGACCGAGCGGGAAGGCTGCAATATCAAAAAGCCTCCGTAAAGATTTCTTTACGACTAAAACCCTTAACAACAAAACCGTCTGTGAAATAAGCTCTTGTGTCCCTGTCCTCTCTCCTCACTCCCCCACTGCATTCCACGCATTTGACACAGCGCCTTACCATGTCGGAAGGACATCTCGAAGCGCTTCACGCCACTCACCATTAAGTGTAGTGACTGTGTATTTGCCCACAGCGACGTCACGACAAACAGCCATCAGATAAATGACCGATTTTTTTTTTGTTGTCGTTGCTCAACTTCTTATTTTCTTTCATTCGGTTTATTGTTTTCGTTCCTAAAAGCATCAAATCAAACTTGCGGGAGCGAAAATGTCCGCGACCACAGCAAGAAATTGTAACATCATTTCACAGTGGGTGAAGCAAACAAGGAAGAGACGCGAGTTTCCGAGAGAATTGATTGCAATAACAAACTCGCATCAAATTGTATTTCAATAAGGAAGGGGAGGAGATGGTGGTGGTGGGGGGTGGGGTGGGGTGTGGGGGTGGGGGGGAGGGTGGTGGCGGGGATGGAAGAGCGGGCGAATTCACTTGGAGAAAGTAATTAATTTTATTTCGATACAAGCAGCAGATATGCTCGCTTTGCACAGTTAGAGCAAATTGATTTCCAGTCACTCGGCTCCCATCTCGTAACATTAAAAAAAAACACTGCCTTCGGCGTGTTAAGCGGAGTGCCAGAAGCCTTGAAGCTAATGGCATTGCCTTCCGCAAATGAAAGATAATGGCGTCTCTCGACGGGGCCTGGGCCGTGTGCTGAGGCCCCGTGAAACCTGCGGTTGCCTCGAAAGCCGCAATTTCTAACGACGCCGTTAAAATCGACCGATAGCGGCCACCGACGCAAACACCCTCCGATGGCCGGTGCCTGTTCCGCCCGCCACCTCGATCCACTTCCCTCTCCGCACGCCTGGAGTGGGAGCTTTTGCTGAATTGAATTTGAAAATCGATCGCGTGTTTTTTTATTTTAAACTTGCGCGCCTCTGATCCCAAACCCCTGATCCCCAAACAGGTCAGGGTCATTCTTGCCCGTGAGGTACAGCGGGGAATAGGAGTTAATACCTTTTTTGTTTTCTTTTAGTCGCGCGTCGATGATTGTGTTATCCCACCCACCCCCATCTCTCGCGACTCTCTCCGATCCAGGGCTCTTGCGGTTACATTTCGGTGATTTCTGGTGGGTGTATTTTTGGGGTGGTCTGAGATGATGCAGTCGATCTGGCAGATCGCTTTCCGGGGGTAATAATCCCTCCCCCCCCCCAAAAAAAATAATTTGGGTCACTCAATCCACGACTGTTTGTGGTGCAAGGTTTATTATCATTATTATTACTACAGTATTATTCATTTACATTTACGCAGCAGGAGGAAGTCTCAAACACTTGGCACTGATGGCTGGCTGGCTGAGCACCCGAAAACAGGGTGCGAGCGTCCAGTACACCCCCCCATTGCCCCCCTCTCCCCCCCCCCCCCCCCTCCCCACACACACACACACGCACATACACACCAAAACCTGAGGCTAAATGCATAGAAGTTTACAGCACAGAGGAATGCCATTCAATCCATTGTATCCACACTGGTTTTCTGAAAGAACAATCCATTCAGTCCCATTCACCCGTCTTATCCCCTGCAGGTTGATATCTATCTCGTTCCCTCTTGAAGCAGAGAGAATCCGGGATATAACCTAGGGGCGTTCCATATACAGTAATGAAATGAAACCTGCTGGATCTGACACTCGATCTGTTTCTCAGAGATTAACAGGAGATTTGCGGATTGCAGATGACAAACAATTTGAAATGGCAATTTTCGTGTACTTCTGTCAGATATTAAACGATCGTTTTAGGCAAAATATTTGTTCGGCCTTCGGATCGAACAAATAGTTTTCCCTAAAAGTAAAAAGGCAAAAGAAAAGACAGGTGGGCGGTTAGTCGGTGTGTCTTGTAATGTAAAACACGCTGTGCGATGGGGGAACGGGCTCAATGGGCCTTTGTTAAATAATAATAATAATATCGGCCAGGACACCGGGAGAAACTCCCTCCTCTTTTCGAGTAGCGCCAACTCTCTGGCCAACCTGCGCCTAAAACTCTCCAGGAATTGGGTAAGCAGTGGGAGTGGGAGGGAGTGCGCATTCCATTCCAGACGTGGGAATTTCCATGAGGAGGTGGCAGACATTGAAATCTCCGTCTGGTTTGGATACGCTTAACCACGGGGTTGGGTTTCTGCATGTGTCAGACCCCCGGCTAGCCAAAATAAGAAAAAAAAACCCGCCTTGTGTGAAGGATGATGTGTTCGGTGTGAATATCGTGGAACCCGGTATGATTTGTTGCTATATTCTGACAGACTGACAACCCAGATCTGTTGTTCTGGCTTCTCTGCAGAGACTTGCACAGTGACTGTACTGTGAAGACATTTAGCATGACTGGTCAGATGGTTTCTTACATTGCATTGCTTGTTCACGTCCTAGGTCGGAGCTTCAGTGCCTGAGCTTGTCTGAACTCGAGTCTCCAGAACCGCTGGGAGCAACAGCCTCGATCCTACTAACACTGGTAAGGTCCGTTGTGGGTTTTAAACACGGGGTATAGTGGTGGCAATTATCACCAGCGGCGAGTATCAAATCACATATCTCATTTTCCTCTTCATTTACCCTCAACGCACACACACACACACACACACACACAAACCTCTCTTCTCTTTCACTGTTTTGTAATCATTTTTGGGTGCCTTTCAGATGAATTTGAGGGACGATTGCAGAATTGCTGATGATAATAATAATAATGCTTGAGTTTGAGAGAGTTGCCGTTGAGATAATTAATAGTTAATTAATATTATTCATAACAGTTGATGGCTGGGACCAGCCCTTGTCTGTTCTGATCCTGAGTCAGTCACTACACTTGCACAGTCACCACACGTTACTGTAAGCTACAGATTCAAAGATCATAATCTGGATGTTTTCTACCCCAAGGATCGATGTGTTGTGCAGCTAAACAATTCACGTACGGCATTTTCTTGTAAAACGCTCGAGCGACTTTCTTGATGCATTATTGAACGGGAATTCTATAATAAAGGAAAATCTTTAACACAGCGGGCGTGTTTGTGTCGAAACAGCTGTATGCGTTGCGATATTAGAACCTGGGGCTTTGACCACAATGTTTTTCATCTGTGGGACTCGTGTGAATCCAACCCACGCTGGGCCAGTCGTGTAGAAATCTCTCCCCCTCTGCGTGCTAAGAGAAAGGAGTTTTCCCGTTCTGACTGTCAAGCGCCTTGGGACGTCCTCCCTCCCGACGTGAAAGGCGCTAGACAAATGCAACTTATTGCTGCTGTTGTCCGCGATTCGGATCTTGCTGGGCGCACAACGCACGCATTGCGTAACATCGCTGCGCGCCAGGGTTACCACTAACCTGAATGTTTCTTTGACCTGCCATGCCGGTTCGGGTGCAAATTGGCTGCCGCGCTCACCTACAACATCGCACGGTCACTACACTCGACAGCAGTGGCCCCCGAGTCGCTCTTGGGGCGTTCCTGTAATCACAGCCGTTTACGGACAGATACTGAACATACATATTTTATATATTACATATACATATTATATCGAGTGCAAGGTCTGTGCTGAGACTGGTAATGGCCTCTGTAAAGCAGTGTGTGGAGCAACTACATTGGATTCCACTGAGCGTTAAATTTGTGTGTTGTGGCTGGAGCGTTCCTCATAGTCAAATGACAAGTAGCAGCATGAGACTTCGCATGACTAGCCGCTCGGGCTGAGCGAGGAGATCCAGCACCTCATCTCAGTGTCATGTAGGAGCAGACAGACAGCAACAGGAGCTGCCCCAGCTCCCAGCGCACATCATGGAATAATGTCCGTTTGATACCGACTCGCATCAAACTCTCGCTAAAGCACGAGAGGAAATACTACCTCGGGATACAGCCTAGACTTTGGGACACGACACGTACATGTGACTGCCAGGAACTTGGTTTTCATTAGCCTCATGTTCCCACGTTGGCAAAATTGGTCTTGTGGATAATGATATGAGACTCTTAATAATACCTAACCCCTGTCCCCCCACCAGCGTTGTGAGGGAAGGAGAATTATTTTACTCCAGGACGTCCACCATCAAACTCGAGCAGCGACGCATCCCGTGGGTTAGGTGCTGGGTTAACAGCTCGCTCTGTGTTCCTCACTTGGTATTCCTTCAGCATCTCAAACACATGTCATTCAGCTTCAGTGTGACATTTCCATTTCCTACGCCAGCCATCCCTGTAGGCTCCCGCTCACAGTCAGGTTGCCAATTTCGCTTTGAACCCTGCGCAGTGTTGCCCACACTGTGGTTATTGAAGCTTGAATACATTTGTGTGCAGGTATGGCCTGAGGCGCTTAACACCGCAATCAGGAGGCATCTGCAGCAGGTTTGTTACACCTCTATTACAGCCTAAATTAACCAACACTCGTCCCCGCACAAAAACACACGCACACACCTGCCGGAGTGTGGCGCGTGAGTTGTGAGGCGTGTGTATGTATGTGGTGAATGCACGTGTTTGTATGTGGCGTGTGTGGGTGTACAAGTGGCGGGTGTGTGTGTGTGTAGCTGGTGTATGTGTGTGTGTGTGTGTGTAGATGGCATGTAGGTGGCATGTGTAGGTGATATGTGTGTGTGTGTGTGTGCGCGCGCGCACAGTTGGCGTGTGTGATGTGTGGCTTGAGGACTGTGCTAATTGCTCACATAACAAAAGGTGACCAGTGCCCCATGAAAACCTTATCCACGAGTTGAGGAGAGAAGAGAATACACCAGAGAGAGAACCCAGGCCCCTCACCCGTCTTAACACATTTCCAGTTACAGCAGCCAGTTTCACCCCATCACACTCGCTTTCTGCGACATCAGGAGGATAAAAGGCGGGGGGCGGTTGGAAGAAAGTCGGTGTGTGTTTGCAGAAAGCGCTGTTTTTCTAACTGATCAGTAAAAGGCCTGCGAGCCGAGGCAGCCAGCGCGACCGTGTAAACATGCTGCAGAGTCAACCGTTCACTTCCCCAGAGAGCGTGTTTCATCCTCTACTCCAGCGCATCCCAAGCCTTCGGTCATGTTAACCCAGCTCGTCCAAATTCTCTCCCACAACCGCAGAGCTTGGCCAGACCCCTGCGCTCAGTCTCCTGCGAGAGAGCGAGTGAGTGAGCGAGCGAGAGAGAGAGAGAGCAAGAGAGCGAGAGCGCGAGCGAGTGAACGTTGACACTAAGATGTTAAACCGGGTTCTAATTGGATTTCTTGTTAAGGGCTATTAAGCCTAGAATTGCCAAGACTCCACAAGCATAACTGGAGGGCTTAGATTTAAGGTAATTATTAAAAAGGACAAAGGGAGAGAGGTTCGGGGAGGGTGTCTTTTTTTTTAAAAAAAGAAAGAGATAGTTGTTAGGACGTGGAATGCCCAACCTAGAATTGTGGTTGAGACAGGATCCATAATAATAATAATAATAATAATGATAATAATAATAATAATCTGTGCATTTGATGTAGCTCCAAAGTCGTCAAAACATCTCAAAGCACTTCACTGGATATACTGTAAACTCGGTGTTTCTGTGGGCAAGCATAGCAGCCAATTTATCCACAGCAATGTCCAACAAACAGCCACGAAGTTGATGAGCAATTTTATTTGGGGATTGTCGGCCAGGACACTGGGAGAAACTGCCTTCACTCTTTGAATAGTGCCACGGGATCTTTAAAGTCCACCTGAACAGGCACAGACGAGACCTCAGTTTAATATTTCATCCGAAGCACGGAACCATTGATAATACAGCGTTCTTTCCACCCCCCCCCCCCCCTCCACCCCCAGCACTGCACTGGAGCATCAACCTGGAATGCGTGAGTTCAAAGTCCTGATGCGGGGAGGATTTGAACTGATAACCTTCTGTCTCAGAGGCGAGAGTGCGAGTCATGACACCAAATCAGCTTTTAAGAGGGAATTTGAGGGGATTTGAGCCGCCACAGGCACGATGGACCGAATGGCCTCCTCTTGTACTGTAATATTCAAGGTTTTTTTGTAAGTGTGTAAAAAAAAAAGGAACCGGGCAGTTTTAACACACAGAGTGCAGATTTCCCTTCAGTTCTTGGCTCGGCCGAGATTTGCAGGGAAGGTTCCAAGCTTGTGCCAGCCGCCTTGTCGAGAGATTCCCCATCTCCAGCTATTGAAAAAAACACACACCAGGGAGAAAGAAATCCTCATGGAAATTCCTCACGGGATACTAAGGACGGAAAAGTGGGGATGAGGGGGGGGGGGAGAGCCGGGGGAGGACAGGGGAATTGGGGAGGGTAAGGAAAGGGAATGGAGGGGAGTTGAGGAGAAAAAGAACTGGACAGACGCAAAGCGTCAATGCTTCAGGACCATTGAGGTTTTACCTCTGAAGTAACACTAGGGGTCCACCAATTGAAAGGAGCTGTAATGTTCTCCGTGGCTGAATTTTCTCATTACTTCCCCCCTATCCCTTTCACACTTCATTTCAGCTTTTATGTTTCCATCCTCATCCGCAGACTCTCTTTCTCGTTTCTTTAGCGAAAGGTGGTTCACGATTGACTACACTTACGAGCTGCCGCACGAATTTGGGGCCCTTGATTTTCTAATGAACTTCGTCTAAATTTCATTTTGTTATTTTGCCTGTGTAAAGGATCTGACAGCAGATGGCAGATATATTTCTCTCTCTCTCTCTCTCTCTCTCTCTCGCTCTCTTTCTCGCTCTCGCTGCAATCCTTTTCTAACCGCGGCTGGTAAAAGATTGATGAACACTAAACGCATTAGTTAACGTGGGCTTCGTTCGAGACGTTAACTCTTGAGGCGCCAAAGTTGCCTCTGGCTGTAGCAGACCTGGGAATTAATTGGTGTGGGAGGGCGTCCCAAAAGCACTGTCGCGGGATTTTGCCAGCAAGCACGACAGCTAATTTGCGCACAGCAATGTGCCACAATGTGCATTGAGTTGGTCATTGGTGGTTAGGGGGTCGGGGTGGGGGTGGGGCATGGACTGGAGCAGAAAGGGGAGTGGGGGCGGGGGACTCTTAATGAAAATAACACAAACATTTTGAAAGGCCTTTTGATGGAGTGGATTTTGTCCAGACTACGTGGCACTTCCCATGTCTGTGTCTTTGTTGCCCCTGACGATTCCACTGGGGCCTCAAACGATGTCCTGTCAAACGGGATTGTTCCCTGTCGTTGAGGGATTGTTTTTTATGGACTTCACCTCAGACTCGCTTGACCAATTTTATTTGGGAGATTGTTGGCCAGGACACCAGGAGAAACTCCCTTCTCTTTCCGAATCGCGCCGTGGCATCTTAAACATCCACCTGAAGAGGGCAGACGGGACCTTGGTTTAACGTCTCATCCGACGAACGGTATTAAGGCCTATGCTCTGTCACCCAGTTGCTGTGTGACAGGCTTCAGTGTTATACTGACATGGTATACTGACAATAATAAAAATAATCCTTGCATTTGATATAGAACCTTATCACACTCTTGAGACGTCTCAAAGCGCTTCACAGAATATATTGTAAAGTGAATTGACTGCGTATTT